AACATTTAAAATGTCTCAATAATAATTAAAAATACAAAGCATCCTCACCATTATCAGATTTTTCAAAGTTGTTTGTCCTGCAGAAACTTTGTGAACATATAAGGTTTCCAAAAGGTATCGGATGTAATGTATACAATGACAGAAGCAAGCCAAGCTAGAAAAAAACATAAAAAGTAAACATTAAAATTCCTTTGAAATTCTGGCTTGCCTTATGCATGGTACATTTAAAATTTTCAGTTTATTGTAATATTCTAGCTATTAGGAAATATTGTTTCTGGTAACTAAAACCCAAATACTTTCTTTAATATTTAATTTTCAAAATTTAGCAATAAAAGTAGCTGTTATAAGAGTCTCTATATTTACTTCTGATGATACTAAAATATTTTATAATACCAGTCATAAACCATTATGCTCCCACCTGTCCCAAGAGTAGGTATAAATATAATAATTGCAAATGTGTTCATGTCAAAATGCCTTGACTGAACCTGACAACCTACAAGTTTTAAAAATTTCCAAAGCCTACTTGGAATGCATTTGACATTTTATAATATTCAGAATAACTTTTTAATTGTCTGTTTGTCCTTTAGCAAATACCAAGATGGAGAAAGCTTAAATTGCATTTCAGTGCAGTAATAATGTAGCTTTTTGTTTTTTTATTTACTTTTTTATTTTCTACTGAATATTATAATATTTTATCTCTTTGTGTGCTTGTTTTTACTGCTGTATTCTAAATTACTACCTCTTATCATTTTCATATAATTACTATCTTAAAAGTAAATGTAAAATGTGATTTACAGAGGTACATTTTTCTGAATATACTAAAAAGCATATAGTTTTCATTAAGAGCTGTACCTACTTTGTTATATATAAAAATGTAAAATCTCATAACCTTTGTTTGCTATTAGAGAAATAAATATGGATCAAATGTGACATGTTTTTGTGTGTTGTTTATTTATTTATTTATTTTTAGAGCTGGAGTCTTGCTCTGTCGTCCAGGCTCCAGTGCAGTGGCACAATCATGGCTCAATCTGTCAGGCTCCACTAATCCTTCCACTTCAGCCTCCTGAATAGCTCACATACACCCCCGTGCCACCATGCCTGGACAATTTTTTGTATGTTTTGTACAAATGGGTTTCACTTTGTTGCCCAGGCTAGTCTCAAACTCATGGGCTCAAGTGATCAACTTGTCTGGGGCTCCCAAAGTGCCGGGATTACAGGCATAAGACACCACGCCCGACTGATGACATACTTTAACCAGTAAACGTGCTGTATATAATAATAAAATCAGACATTGAGTTACTTATAAGTCTGGGAGTTTATTTCTGTGGAAATGATTTTTGGTATGAGTAGGGTGACTTTAGGGAAAACAAATAATTAGACTAACACTATCCTGATTAGGTCAGCAGCAAATTTATCATTATTCATTAATTCAGGAAAAACAAATTGTGCACCTACTATGTAACATAAATGTTTTATGTGATGCATATACCTATAAGTATAATAGTAGATAAATTCTGAAAAAATAGGTAAGAGAGCAAAAAACATGGATATCTGGGGGAAGAGCTTTCTAGAAAGTGAGACAAACAGAAGCAAAAGTCGTGATATAGAAGCTGCCTTATGATTTCAAAAGGTAGATAAGGAAATTGATATCTCTCCTCATTTTATTGTTCTTTTGTAGAAGTGGTTACAAAAACCCTTGGGTAATATACTTTTTTTTGTTTGTTTTATAAGAAAACAACAATGTAGCAGAGCCATCAGTGAGAAATTTTGGTTCAATCTATGATTCTTCTACATCACTTCATTCACTTCTTTCATGCTAAAGCATGAGAGTGTAGAAACCACCATAGAATATACAAATAGAACCATACTGTTTATATATGCCGCATTGTACATCATTGCTAACTCACCAAGTTTGATTTTATTTCAAAGCGTTATTATTCTATATAATTATGTTTAACTTCCAGTCAAACACTGATTATTTTATGTTAATTGCTAAATTAACTGTAAACCATAAATAGGCATGGATCCAATTCATTTTCCCAAGCAAAGTACAGATGAAATCTTATTTATTTTGAATCAAGTAAGGTTCAGGATATGAGGGCACAGCATAGAAAAGCACATGTTCAGCTTTGGAAACAGCAAGGGAGGCATTGCACCAGGTTTCTGGTTTCTGTTGAAGAAGACAAGGAAATGTTCAGGTAACAGGTTCGTAAGATACTTGATGTGGATACAGTTCCTACAGGAGATATCCCTTTAGTCTCAGTGTGTGGAGGATTCTAAGAGATCTGAATAACTTTGTGGTGGTTGGGTCACATATAGAAATCTCCTTCTATATGAACTTATAATAAAATTCTTTTGACATTATAACATTAATTCAAAACAATTTTGGAGACAACATTTTAGTCTGTGGCAATTGGATGTGACATTTAAGAATTCATCTTAAAACAACATCATCCCGAAAGTTAGGTGACACAAGCTTTGTGATTATTTTCTAAAGCCCTGCTAGACACCTACATTTCAAAAGTAGTTTGTGTATCTGCTGTGGAATTACTTTATACAAACTTAATGTATTTGTTTTTTGGGAACAATGTGGCACAAATACATTCACCACTGAGATACTA